TTCTCGATTTTTGACTTTTTGAACAAAATGTGTGACATTAGCTTGTATTTTCTTGTTTAGAGGATTGTGATTGCCTCGTTTCTTGATGAATGAGGGATAACATTATGGTTCCACATCTTCTAGATTCATTATACATGAAGGATAGCCCTCGTAGTTTCTCTTCAAAAAAACATCTTCCTTATGAATTTTGAACACTCAGTCAGATTAACTAAAAACTACCCTGCCCCAGGTTAAAATTCAAGGTTTTTTCGTATAGAAAAGAAACTTCTGCTTCAAAGGCTCAAAAAGGGTTAGCAAGGGATTATCTTCCTTATATCTCCGGTGTTTAGGGATTTGAAACAATGCCTGTACATCATCAGCAAGATTTTATCCAAAAGCAAACAACCAGAGATTTTGTGTTCTTTAGATCATCATCCTCCCTTCAATCTCTGCCTAGGCAAGAGAATGGGCAACAAGTTGGTATCATAATGCCAAAAGAAATTTAAAGTTTTAAAACAAATATGAGTGAAACGAATGAATTTCTTCAAGACAAACATACTCATTGTATTAAGATAATCATACAGATGCAAACAAGTTCTTACATGCAAACAATGTTTTGATAAACAAGAAAAATTACAAAAAGCAGAAATAAGTTAATGATCTGGGAATGCTTTCCATCTGGACTTGAATTACCGAAAACAGCCTTCAAAAAATCAAAGTCACCATCAATCGTGTTTACTCTTCGGCGCATGCTTGATTTGAACTTCAAAACCAACGTCCTTGAATGACAAGATACCACTTCTGACCAACTTCTGAACCTCAATCTTCAAAGCAAAGCAACCCTCCAAGTCATGCCCAGGAGCACCTTGATGAAAGGTACAAGCCAAATCAGCTTTGTAGTACCAATGTATCTTCTCAGGAACCTTTGGTGGAGGTCGAGTCTGAACCAAATTCCTCTGCATCAGGATAGGGAACAACTCTGTATAGGTAATTGGAATTGGATCAAACTGGGTTTTCCTCTGATTAGGAACTTACTGATTTTGTTGATGAATAGGAGGAACATGATGATTTTGAAGATGAATATTTCTTCCTATGGTTCTCTTCTTGGAAAAGTTATTATCAAACTTCTTCACACCATTAGCTGAGCTACCATCTTCATATGAACATCCCTTCCCAACATCTTCTTCTAGACGCACTCCCACATTCACCTTGTCAGGAAAGTCATTAGGTGCATTAACCATCACCTTCTCATGAGAGAATGATTTTAGAGTTTCAGTGAATACTTTTATCATCGCTTCCTCCCTCCTAGAAGGATTGACTTGGGTGGCAACCAGAATTTCAACCAAACCAGTTAAGTGCTCCATACTAGCTTTCAAAATAGTCATCTCTCTACGGAGTTCAAAAACCTCTTGCTTGATATTCTCCATTGTTCTCTTAGCGCGAGTGTTGTACTGGTGAGACCAAAGGAAAAATAAGACTCGGAAAAAGACCTTTGACAGTGAAACAAAAAATGTAGAATGATGTATGATATGCAAAAGAGAGTTTTTATTTGATTTTCAAGGAACTCAAGATATTAAGTTGTAAACATCAAAGTATGAAGATAGAAGATGAATTTTAAATTGGCTCCAAACATTGATCAAGTTATCATCAAGATCAATCATCCATTTTTGTGGATTAGGGTTTTCGCCCTATCAACACCCAAGATCCATTGAGCTTGACGAAACTTGTGATGTTTACAAAGAAAGACCTCCAAATTCCTTCAAAGTCAAGTGAAAAGGGTTTTATGGATGCATGAATGCATGGCTATGCAACAACCACAAGCAAGGTCACAAATAAAGTCGAAAGGTTCAACGTCACGAGCATGGAGTCAAGGTAAGGAACACCCCCAAGGTATGTACTAACGGTTTAATCACACCTGTAGAACAAGGTTCTAAGAGTTCCCGGAGTCTACACTCCTCCTTCGGATATTACCAACGTCTTGATTACTCAATAATCAGCAATATTCTAAAGAGAAACTCATCCGAGCGTAGCATCGCGTAACAATTACTTCCGGATTACTCCGTTATAATCTCCGCGCTACACCTAAAAGGCCAAGATGGGTTAGGGTTCTACGGTTCCCAGCTTCTCTGGCTCCCAGGTCGAAAATAATAATGTCTTCCCGATTACTCGGTAAACAGATATTACGTTCAAAAGGGCCTTCCACTGAGTGGGGGATCTCATGCCTCCTTCTTCGGGATTACTCCCTCAAAGTTAACATGACTATACCGCCCGTCTTATTCCTAAGTGTAACTTAGTCCGGGTATAGGACTTGTCCTTTGTAAATATTATCAACACCCAAATAATCATAATATATACATATAATCAAACAATCAAATAATGATAAAACAGATAAAACAAATTAGGCTTAACCCACTTAGGGATGGACCAGCAAGAGGTCAATCTTTCCCCAGCAGAGTCGCCAATTCTGTAGCGGTGAAAATCGGAGATCAAGCTATTAATTAACTTAACTCACAAAAGCAAGAGTCGCCACCGCACTTTATTATTTCCAAGGGAAAAGGGAAAAGAGCGAAATAAAACCCTAAAATATGCAATGTAAAATAATACTTAAAAGTAATGAAAATACGATGCGTTTTTGAAAGAGATCTAAACTTCGGGGGTTGGTTATATAATGGGAAGGTATTAGCACCCAATGCATCTGCGGTACTCCGCAGGAACCGTTTGAAATATCTGTTTTTTGGTTAAAATTGTTTGTTTGATTAAAATGGTTCGTTTGGCTAAAAATCGGTGTTGGAGAGATTTTGAAGATACGACGACCTAGTGTTGAAGTTTTGACTTAAAAGGGGTGTGAGTTTAAAAATTGATTTGTAGGAGATTCGTCTTAAGATTAATAAAACTAAAAAAGTATGAAGGGATTTCACATAATCGTATTAGATACTCGATGACATGAAGTCAACAAATTAATTCTTTGCCTTGGATTAAATCGAGCGAGCAAAATAAAATAGACATCAAAATATAAGCAATCAAAATTCACAAGAAAATAAATATAACGAAACAGATTAATGACCTAAAGGCATCGAGGAATTAAAATGACAAAGATATTTAAATAAAATAAAAGAGAATGTAACTAATTATCTAAAGAAGTTATTTAAACTATATTAAAAATTTAAGATTACTTACTAAAAAAATTCTAAACTAACTACAAATTCTAAGGTTGCAAAAATAGTTCTAAAATTACTAAATTAAATCTAAGCTAAATTAAACATTTTAAAATTAGTAAATTAAATCTAAACTAAATAAAAATTCCAAGGTTGCTAATCTAAAACAAAAAAAATTTCCAAAGTTACTAAACTAAATCTAAATCAAATAAAATTCTAAAAGAATATTAAACTAATTCTAAACAACTAAAATTCTAAACTTATTAAACTAATTCTAAATCAAATAAAGTTCTAAAGTCCCTAAACTAAAACTAACAACTAAAATTCCAAAGTTAACTTAAATGAAATCAAATAAAATTCTAAAGTTTACTAAATTAAAACTAAAACAAATAAAATTCTAAAATTTACTAAGTCAAATCTAAATAAAATAAAATCCTAAAGTTACTAAAATAAAACTAAAACAAAATAAAATTCTAAAGTTTACTAAGTCAAAAACTAAAACAAATAAAACTCTAAAATTTACTAAGTCAAATCTAAATGAAATAAAATCCTAAAGTTACTAAAATAAAACTAAAACAAAATAAAATTCTAAAGTTTACTAAGTCAAAACTAAATAAAACTCTAAAATTTACTAAGTCAAATCTAAATGAAATAAAATCCTAAAGTTACTAAAATAAAACTAAAACAAAATAAAATTCTAAAGTTTACTAAGTCAAAACTAAAACAAATAAAACTCTAAAATTTACTAAGTCAAATCTAAATGAAATAAAATCCTAAAGTTACTAAAATAAAACTAAAACAAAATAAAATTCTAAAGTTTACTAAGTCAAAACTAAATAAAACTCTAAAATTTACTAAGTCAAATCTAAATGAAATAAAATCCTAAAGTTACTAAAATAAAACTAAAACAAAATAAAATTCTAAAGTTTACTAAGTCAAAACTAAAACAAATAAAACTCTAAAATTTACTAAGTCAAATCTAAATGAAATAAAATCCTAAAGTTACTAAAATAAAACTAAAACAAAATAAAATTCTAAAGTTTACTAAGTCAAAACTAAATAAAACTCTAAAATTTACTAAGTCAAATCTAAATGAAATAAAATCCTAAAGTTACTAAAATAATACTACAACACATAAAATTCTAAAGTTTACTAAACTAAAGCTAAAACAAAAAGTTATAAAATAAATCTAAATTAATACTAAACTAAATTAATTCTAAACTAAAGATTAAAATTCTAAGACTAAATTAAAATTCTAAAGTTATCAAAATGTATCTACACTAATTAGAAGTTCTAAAGTTATAAAATAGATCTAAACAAATTGAAATTTCTAAAGTTATTAAATTAAGTCTAAAATTAATCTAAATAATTAAGATTATCTAGTTAAATCAAACATAATTATTTAATTAAATCTATAAAATAACTAAATTAACTAAACTAATTATTATTTAAAATGAATAAATTGAAATGTGTAACTAATAATTTTTGGAGGCAGTAAAGAGAGTAATTTGGGCTGGACTTTGGGGATGAGAGCTGGCCCAAATGTTTTATTACTGCAATCAGCAACATAACAAACAGAATAAAAAAATTGTGAATAAAAAATGAAACGGGAAAACAGAAAACGGGTAAAGGCCCATTGGATATTGGAAAAGTAAAACCTTAGTGAAAACACTAAGCAGCCGCTTACTCATCTTTCTCATTCCACCTTCACGATTTCTATCTCTCTCTATTCTTCATTTTGTTTCTCATCAATCTAAGCAGCTTTCTCATAACAACATCCAACAGTATTCATAAACAAATTAAAGACCACAAAAATCAAAAGATCAAAGTAAATATTACCGATGATATGATTTAGATCGAAGGGATATGCGAAGAGCTTCGGTCCAAACTTTCGGGGAGAGGGTCGTAGGCTACGGACAAAGTGTGGTTTTGCAGTGGGTCCGACGAATCATGAATGAAGGTGGGTCTCGAATCTCCTATTCTTCCCTTTTTACTTCTGGTGTTGAAGTTGTTGTGTGCCTTACAATTGAAACCCGATTGGGACTCGTGACGGTTTCCGACGAGAAGCTCAAAAGTTCAGCAGTCCCAAGTATCTCAGGTACACATCCTTTTTTTTTGCATTTATGTTCATTCTGTTTGTGATCTTATATGACTGTATGAGGCTTGCAGTGGAGATAATGTATTCAGGGTTTGCAATTTTGATAGAGAAGTTTGAAGGGTGGTGGAGAGATTTATTCAGAGTTTAAGGTGAGTTGTTGAAGGTTGAAGGTGGCTGTGAAGAGAGTGGAGGTTAATTGAAGATTGGTGGATTGCTGCTATGGATATACTGAAGATGAGAGAGTATGTTAGCTACTGTTAGTTTTTTTTTTGTGTCCTCTTTGTGTGTTTCTACCCTGTGATCTCCTCTCCTTAGAACTACTTTTATAGCTGGAATAAACTGAGGTTTGGGAGGGAAAAAAAGTGTGATATTTGGAAACTGTTTTATTACTTTTATGATGCCATTTTTGTGTTGCTATTTTGATGTTTATGTATAGGGAAATAACATGTTTTTGGACTATTGTTATGGACTGGTTTACAAGGCCATTTTGTAGAGGTTGCAAAGGATGTAGGGGTAGCATTGCAAGCTTTATGGACAGACTTGAGCAGGGCTGTAATAGCAGGTTTTTTGGCAGCAACAAAAGCATAGAAGTAGCAGCATTTTGGATAATGACAAGGCAGTAGGACATGGTTTCCTTGTGGACAGATGGTGCAGGCTGGTTGGACTGATATGGTGCAGATTCGCAGCAATGGGCAATAGGACACCTTTCAGGATTTCATGGTTGTTTGTGGGCAGCAAGATAGCATTGGCATGGAATGATTTTTGGAGTGTTTTGCTTGGAGCTTTGTTAATGTTTTCTTCTTGATTCCCTTTTCTTGTTTTTTTAAACTCTTCTTATATAGTTAATATCAGTGGAATTCAAGGGAGAAACTTGATAGGTTTTTGAACAAATATGGTGTTATGCATTGTGGCTTTTCTTATGCAAGTTTTGTATAATCAACTTGGTGAGAATTCTGGACTATTACAGCATGGTTTGGGCAGCATACCGTCAGAGGTTATTTTGACTGCTTTTCTTGTAATTGTGAGATAAAACTTTCCAAATTGTCCCAAAGTCATTCTTCCTTTTTGTTGCTATTCTTTTGGACAAAAGATAAATACAATGATAATAATAATAATAATAATAATAATAATAATAATAATAATAATAATAATAATAATAATAGTAATAATAATAATAATAATAATAATAATAATAATAATAATAATAATAATAATAACTTAAAAGAAAATCGTTATGATAATTAAAAAATTAAACTAAAAAAATCTATAAATGAAAATTGTTATGAACAAATAAATTAAACTAAAAAATACAAAGATGAAAAATGTTATTAATAACAAAAATAAACAAATAAAAAGTGATAGTAAAGAAAGTGATTTTAATTTTTGATTTTAATAACAACGATAATTATAATGATAAAAGGTAAGAAACAATAAAAGAATTAAACTAAAAATATAAAATAAAGTAAAAGAGACATTAAAATATGTTATACACATGTCAAACTATGTCAAATTAAAACTAAATTTAAAATTAAAAAAAAACATGAAAATGAAACTACATATATTTTTTGAATTAAAAGAAAGGAAATTTGCAAATAAAATGATACTAAATAAAATTTTTTGGATTTTGTTTTTGTTTTTAATGAAAATAAGAATAAAAGAAAGATGACTAAAAGTGCAAAAATACATGATTTAATAAATTCGGGCAAGACCAGTTAAATTTCACTAAATTCACAATGATTTATAACGTTTCTATTTTTTCGTGGCTTTTTTAAAGCATAATAATCTCTTGACTTGTAAAGAAAAATTGTAGATGATTTCAAGAAGAATCATATGCAAAAAGAACCATTCAAAAATATTGAATAATGAAGAAGTTATGATCGTTTGAACTTGAATGTGCAAGCGTTGACTTTTGGACAAAGTGCTTTGAATTGACCTACAAACTTGATCTTTCTTCGCATTCCAAAGCATCTTGATGCACATGTGAACCAGTGATGATGAAATCTTGTTCGTGCTCTGAGGAAGTTGTGGAGAAGCTTGAGACCACTTGTTGAACAGAGCGTGGAAATAATCACACGATTGCCCTGATGAATCAGTCTTCAAGAATCAACGATCAATTGTACTTCTGGATTGAGAGATTCCGAACCCTAATCGAGGCGTGACGCCTGATGCTCTTGATTCAGATCTGTTTCATGCAAATGAAATCAAAGAAACGAAAAACACACACACACTTCATGCTTGATTAGAAGTTAGTGATACATAGGCTAAGAATGTTCAAAATATTTGACAATTTCTGCATAGTCAATGCTCGAAGGTGAAGGGTTAAAACCGACTGTATTTAGTGACCTCGACTTTTGTACAAAAATGAAAAATAAAAATGGGATCTTAGGTCAAAAATTGGGGTACAACAATTAGCATTGTGTCAAGGCAGATTCGACAGGCATGTGAACCATGTCCTTCGATTAGCATGAACAACACCTTTCAATTGGCCTGTTAACAAAGCATTTCGATTGGCCTGTTAACAAAGATATCAAGAGGGCGCTCAAAAAAACATGTTCAGGTACATTGAACATGAGAAAATGGCATGTTTTCCTTGCAAATATAGAAATAATTAAATGCTGATTGTGGATTTAATTCTTGAGTTAAAGGCCAGATTCTTGCCTTTTCTGTTCCTAAAGAGCTAATTCGACCAGAGTAACTCTTTTCAAATCAAGCAGTCGAAGCAGAAGGAGTCCCATTCGAAGGAGGCAAATCAGGACCAATCGAAGAGCAGGGCCTGAAGGCATTCGAAATCCAAAAGCGTCCAGGTTCATTCAAGGGACACGAATGTTTCAAAAAAGGAAATTATTTAATGTGTCTGATTCTTGTCTCATGGCTTTAATGGCCTGTTTAATGGCTGTCTCCTGCCATTACTGCACCCTCACACCCCTATAAATACAAGATTCAGCGCACATATCCAGGACACGAAAATTATACAACCACACACGAAAAAATACACAACAGGAGAACAAAAAACATTGGAGAGGCGCTGCCCATACAATCCTTCAAAGGTTGTCAGAATTTTCCAAGCCAAAGTAGTCCTTCAGATCAAAGGTGCCCATGCCCAGAAGCCCTCAGATCAAAAGTGCCTACATCCAGAAAGTTCCCAGATCGAAAGTGCCTACATCCAGGAAACGCCCAAAGTAAAAGTCCAATCTGCTGGTAAGAAAGGGTAAACTATCCAACCTCATATTTTCATAATACATCCATACTGGTTGTTACCTTCGATTTTCTATCCTAGACAGGATCAAGAGGCCTGGGTTTGGCACCCAGGCCATGTCCACCGTTTGCTAATATTTGCTGCAGACATAACCTGGAGAGACCCAGCAAGCGCAAGATCGAAGGGCCTGGGGTTCAACACCCAGGCCCTGCATTTTATTACGCTAACATACTTTTGCAGGTATAACATCCCAGATCGAAGGAGACCCCTTCTCTGGATCGAACCCATTAGTATGCTGGTCGAAGGAGGCATCTCATTCCTGGATCGAAAGCCATGACCTCCATGATCAAAAGACAATTCTCTTCCCTGGATCGAAGGCTACTCACGCCTTACTGTCTGGCCCAATCGAAAGGACCATGACCCTCTCTGGATCGAAGCTTCCATTCCCTCCCTGGGTCGAAACTCCCTTTTTTCCCTGGATCGAAGGATCCCCCCTTGTATTTTATTTTTGTTTTCATTGACATCTTTTTATCTTTTTTAATTAACATTAAAATCAAAAAATCACAAAAAACATTAGGCTAGTTTTTTTTCTATTAAAATTAACTTTGTTAATTAATCTCTTAATTATCTTAACATTTTCTCAAAAAACTGAAATTAAATAGATTTAGAGCATTTTCCCAAAAATAAAATAAAACAACAAAAAGATTTTATTCTTAGAATTTTTAGAGTTATTTTCAGATTTGCGCGCGTTTATTTTATTGTAACTGCCTACTGGTTTGTAATAGCTTAACTAAGACTTTTACGCTTTACTGCTTTATTCCCCCAATTTTGGACATGTAAATAAATCCCCCTCCCCGAAGCCTTGTAATAGCGTAGGATTTACAATTCCCGCACTTTAAATTCCTGTACATATATTAATTGTTTAGATGTATGCTAACTAGGCTATGCATGACAAGATTAACTCTTAACTTAAAATCAACAGTAGCTCACCATAACATGTACAAAGATAATATAACTGGAAAAAACAATACACTTGCACATGCCACTCTTAGGGTACACCTCACTTGGTTGCCTCAAATGTGGTCATTAAGTATAGGATGTTTTAGAGGTCGTCCTTCTGTCCAAAGATCAAAGTTGCCTCAAAATGGTTGCCTCGATAAAATTGATCTAAGACATTAGGATTACCACTAAGGCGTCCTAACATTGCTTTAGTTACCACACGTCCCTAAACCGTATTGACCCGAAAACTCCAACGACGGTGCTACCTACTCCTCAATAGTGGGATAGCACTGTCTAAAGGACAGTTGCACAGTTTAATTCCTTTTTGAGTAGGTAGATGTTCTTAAGTACTTGCTCTCTTATAAACAAAACAAAACTTTTCGCACTTACACTCTCTTCAAAACAACAAACTCTTTTTTTAAAACCCACAAACACAAAGAAAAGCAAACTTTTGAAAACATAGTGAGCAAGTATCTAAGAGCCTGTGGATAACCACAGATAGAAAGGGTGCTAATATCTTCCCTTTCTATAATCTACCTCCCAAACCCGAGAAACATCTCGAAAAGGAATTTTTCTGTGCTTTTGTCCTTTCCTTGTTGGATAAAATAAAAGATGGTGGCGACTCTTGCTTACCACAACATTTTACAAAAACAAACGCAAACGCGAACCAGCATTCTAAAACAGTCAGTTCTCATTCCCACCGATCACACCCTTCCATTAAAAAATCTTTGTTATGCTCTTTTGCTTTATATTTCGTATGCGAATCGTGATTTAAATTCTTTGTTAAGCATTACATTGAAAACAATAAGTCAATAATACTCACAAGCTAAGATGTGAAACACTACATTACGGGGATAGGAAGGAATCCCAAGGGAATGCCATGGTGTTCAAGTGTTTTCTCTTCTGTGCAGGTAGCAAGTCATAACGGTCGCCTTGACCAAGATTTCATCCTCATCGCCTCCTTACAATCGACCGAGCGCCCAATTTTCCCACACGGAGATACCTGGGGCATTGGTTAAGATCCACGTCTCTTTTCAGTTATTCACAAAAAGTCCAACACATGAAGGTAGTCAGATCCAGTTATTTCTCCTCAGCAAGATTTACTCCCCAAGTGAACTCGACAAGGCTAACCCTTTTCTCTCAAATTTCAAGCACCAATCAATATTAGTACCTCAAGATGACGAGCAATAGATCCCAATGAGTTTTTGGAACTTTACATACAATAATCATCACAACATATTGCATTGCATCCTCAAACGCATAGCATATCCATGGATCATCATGTCACACTTCAAATGCATATGAAGCATGAGCCAGGTCAGTCCCAAATCAATCCCAAGTCAACAAAACATCATCACAAAGAATATCATCCTCATAATTCCCAATTAACATTTGTTATTACACTACCAACTAAAATAAACCATGGTATTAGT